CATGGGGACGCTGCTTGCAGATGACGTGGCGGAAACTGCGATGGCCGAGCGGAGAAACCCTATCATGTGTGCGCGCGCACACTAACACACCGGTCACGGCTGACTAACAAAACCCTTGCACACCGCCTGACCAAGTGAATGCAGACAAACACAAAGGTGAGACAGTCTGTACATTGCTCTTCTAACCTTATAACCCAAGTCGACTGTCTTGCCTTATCAATGTGTCAAGTTGGGTCGGTCGATACATTTATCGGACTATTGTGTCCTTGCGTCTTCTACCCACTTAGCAAGGGATATAGCAGAAACTGAGGCAGCAATACGGGCGAGAGCGGCCTTCAGGCCGGGAAAAGTTTGTTAAGATAACTATCCACGGCCATTAAAAGTGGCTCTTCGAGCAGAGGACGCGGTCCGGACGATGCTGCTACGAATACAAGCTGAAGGGGTCTCCTGAGAGCTTCCTTTGAGGTATTGATTTAGATCAACACAATAAACTGAAATGTGCATTGGATAAACTCCGAGAACGACGCGGAGACCCTCAACAGTGACGAGGAAATCAGGTCGAGACATGAGCGGCAGGGTGTCAACGTTGCAACTGCTTCGATTCCCTGATAGATGGGATGAACTGAAGTATTGAATGATATCCAACAAACCCGATCTCTTTGTCACTACTGAGACCTGGCTGACGCCAAATGTCAGAGAGTTCAAGATAGTACTAGACGTTTACCTTCTGCACCGAACAGATCAATCGTCACGGTGGCGGAGTTGTGCTTTTCGTCCGTCTGGGAGTCCACATCCGATTGCCAGAAACCTACAATCATTCGGAGAGTTTCGGAGAAACACTGTGTTACGGAATCAAGCTTTGTGGTGGAGGATACATCACAGTAGGAGTGATCCGCAGATTGTTTCACTAGCGCATTGTCTTTTTGAACCAGTAGCATGGAAGTTGGAACAGCTGCCAAGTGTTGCCATACGTAGCTGCTTATTCCGTATCCTTTGCACGTAACGCTATCCAACCTTTTAGATCATCTCCTAAGCTCTTTGTGAGTTTGCGCTGCGAAGAAAGGCACTGTTCACTAAATTCGCTATACTCGGATCGCCCAATTGACATTAAAACGTCGGAAAGAGTTGGAGGAGACCCAGTGGGTTAGGTCACACCGGTACAAGCTGGCTGGGTACATTGTTCTTCAAACGGTTGTCGAGTGTTGATCTATATTCCTTGATGTGGTAGTAGTTAGCCTTGCAGTCAACTCGTTTTAATAATCTTTTGGCACCGCCGAGTCGGAAGCTTGGCAACGTCAAGCTGTTTGCATCTCAGGTTCTTGCAGTCACCAAATCGACGCACAACTCAGCCCAAACTAGTCCGTGGTAGAGTCCAGAATGATAGACCCGTACGACAGTCTTCCACACAATCTCTCTCTCTCTCCATCTTCAGATATTTACTGTGATCAGTCCGCGCAGTGGGCAGTGGTGGCCCGTCACCAAATTACCACCTCGGGGGACGTGTTCGAACCCCACCGCCATCGCCTGACTTTCCCCATGGCAGCCGCTTCCTCCTTTCTGAAAAATGTATCATAGTGTATTCAATAAAAGGAAGTAAAATTAAAAAGGAGTTCCGCCAAGTGCTTGTGCAACCCTTTAGGTGTCTGAAGTTCGCGCTGACAAGAAATAGACTGTATTCTGGAACTAATCCAAATCTTTCGCTTCAAGTTACGTATTTCTTCGGAATTATCTTGCATGTCATAATGTAACGTTCCATTTTTTATTTTTCAGTTTTGTAATTTCACTGCAACTGTTTCTAGTTGGATCGCTTTGAACCACATCCGATGGGGAAAAAACCAAAAAAACAGTCATTGACTAATACAACACCCGACCATAGCGCCATAAGGGAGGTATGTCATGAGTTACTATTTCTGTAGTTTTTGTTAGGTGGATACGACTGGTCTCAAATATTTCAATCAATTTCCTCTGTCAAAACCAATTCTGAACGCACTCAAAACCAATGGATTTACCCGACCTACGGAAATACAGAAACTCACCCTTAAGCATGCCCTATTGGGTAACGACATTGTGGTCGAGGCCGCTACCGGTAGTGGGAAAACCCTTGGGTTTCTCATACCAATGCTTGAGCGATTGCTCGCAGCTCATGTTACAAGGTTTGACGGCCCGGTTGCAGTCATTCTGACGCCCACACGAGAACTGGCGCGGCAAATATGTTTGGTCCTTCAACGGCTTTGCTCCAATCTCAAGTTCACAATTTTGAATATTATGGGTGGAAAAAACAGCGTAAGTATTTTTCGTATTGGAAATTGTTCTCCATCTTAGTTTTTATGGTACCAATTACGACCAGTATACTACGTGACAATAACCTTTCATTACTGTTTCTTTCACACCTAACACTTATTCATATTTCCCAGTGCTTTTGCTTCTCATCCACTACCTACATTTCGTACTCCAGAGATCTGTTAAGCGCAAATAGGCAAGCCTGAAATTATACTCGTGATCATCCCATTGCGATGATTTAGTGCGTGAAGTGTGACGCTCGAAAGCTAGATAAAGAACACGTAATTCATAACGTCGCTTATCTTTCTCCAGGAGTAGAGCGACAAACAACGACAGAAATCGGTTGCTGAAGGTTTTATTTTTCATCTGTGTGATGAACATCTGGAGAGACAAAAGCCGTGTATTCATGAGGTTAGAACGTGAATTTGCTCACCCCCGGGAAAAGAGGGTTACTGAATTGATTGAGGCTAAGCTAAACAGTGTTGCCGAACGGTTTTGAAGCACCCGTGCTCAAAAGGAAAACTAAAGCTGTTGGTTTTAGAGCAGTCTTGTCTGTTCCATCTCAATACTGTGGTTAGGCGTAGGATGATAATCGCTGTTGCAGTAACAAGTCTTTGACCTCCAGCGATTGCAATGGTAAAGGTATAAACTACTCATTTAGCCAGGGTAAATTTCGCTCCTAGCAGTTTTTGCTACTGCAAACAATGGTGTTAGGTAAACCTTAAATGTTCTGACTTCTAATTCAGCTTGACCTTCGTTTTGCTAGTTCTTTAGAGCCGCTCATTGCTGTAAAAATAGACTAACGCGATTTAGTGTCTTCGGTAGTGACCGTAGTGCATCCACTTTCGTTGCATTTTTTTGTTCTATTCCCATTTCTTTGTAGCATTTTGTTAGTCCTCCGTTTAATCTTATTGTTTCCTTCATTTATCGATCGCATAGGGTGCCCAAAGACAGCAACAAAGACGAACTCGATTTGCTTGTTAAGGGTTAGATGTGTTGAACACAACTGAAGTGGAATAATGACTTTTGATGAGTTTATTGCACAGTATTTATTCACATACTTAGGTAGACTTATTCAAAAGCTAGCAAAGAGCGGGTGAAAGAGTGCGGGTCGGAGTGATTTATAGTATCCTTTGTTTGGACATATTTTCATCTCTTTTGCTAAGAATGGTTCGCAAGACGTGCTTACCTAGTGCGTTCGTCTGTGACACTTTTCAACAAATGTTTCAAAGTGAACACTATATCAGCATCAGACACCCTGGTGTATTTTGTCAGCTCTGCTTCATTTTTTTCGCTCGAACACTGTTGTCTATTTTCTGCAATACAATAACGCATTTAACTGTGGGGGCAGAACTTTTCTATTATCTGTGTTATATGGTGAATGTTTACCTCGATTGAACAGAAACTGTTTCTCTGAAAGAACTTGATTTATTGCATTCACTGGTGATGTGTCTAATTCTTTTCCTATTCATTGCGGTGCGCTTTGTATGCGCCATTCACCGCTTTTCCGTGTGCTGTACATTCGTAACTTACCAAAGGTTTCTAATGAATTATTGATCGAATATACGTTTAGCGTTGCAACTGGAATTGAATCGAATAGTAATTTTCATTTACTGTTGTCCGGTCGTCTTCTTTCTATTATTTGTTTCTTAACGTGATAAAATTCTCTACAATCGCCAACGAAAGACGATCATAGTCCATCAAGCGTAATTCCCGAGATGAAAATCAATAACGAACGCAAAACTACGACTGAGCAAAAGATAATCCGGAAGCATTTCATTGCAGTTCAGTCGTTGCTTACTGTAGTTCAATTTCTGTTTTCACAAACATTAACAATGCACTTCTGTGCGGCTGGTTTGGTTACTGTCTCATGATTGTCCACTTGAATGGAGGAGTAAGCGGATTATTAGTGTTGAAACCAGCTACAAACGGGAACTACAGAACTCTGGTGTGCCAAGATTGTAAGGACAATGAGTAGATGCACGGAAGCCACTGATTCCGATACTCGGTTGTATCTCTGTGTTTCTAACCGTTAGTTACGCTGCTACTGAAGTCCACATCCAAGGGGCCTAATGTGACCTGTATGACCGATTCTCTTGATTTGAATTTTCACTCAGACTATTCAGGAAAGCTTGCAACTCACTCGGAGCTTAACTTGGCAGTACAGTGATTTCCGCTCATATCAGTTCAGACAGTACGCTAAGTGGCAGTAAATTGATCCCACCATCCTCGCATGAGGACCGCAAAAGCCTCGGTATAGTCAGAGATGGGTACCTTCGGTTGTGTATGGTTACTCTTCCCTTGCACCTCACGAAGTGTTCTTATACGACTAAGCGTCTCAAATAGCCTCTGTCGAGGAAACCCTACTCACTAACTTCTCGTGGCAGAGATGTGAACCACTGGCAGTTAATCTAGGGGAGATGCCTAGAACCCTAAACCAACCAATAAGAGGTGTACGAACCATACACCCATACCTTCCTTCTTATAACAGTGACCACCAGCTCAATTCGACATCGAAGTGCAATGACTCGTTTGACGTTTGACACAGTCCAAACACACCTTAATCCGATGAACTGAATACCACTCCACAATGTGTTGCGGCTTTGACACACCGCTCATCTCCTTGCAGGTCAGGCTTCGGCTAGCCGAAGACTCCAGAAAATTCACCTGCCTTCGCCTTGGCAACCTGGCATTATTCCGCTCACAAAACATGATTTTTTATAAAGAATATTGTACCGTGAGTTGTTTGGCACACAGTCTGGCCTCAGACGCCTGTAAACTATATATATATATATATCCTCGCGTGAGGAAAGGACTGTTTGCAAAATCAAATTTCCAACGAAGAAAAGTAGGGAGAGGGAGCACCTCTGAAAAACACCACTGTCTTTGGTAACCTCGGGTGAAAACGTGCCGTTAGCTCGGAATCTGCATCGGTTATATCTATAAAGGGATCGTAATATTGAAATAAGCTTCTTGGGCACATCCTTTAGGCAAAGGCAGCACCATAGTTTAGAGCTGTGGACTGTGTCGAAGGCTGGTCGATGAAGGGAATTTCGGTGTTCCAGGGTTTAGTGAAGGATGAAAGTATGGTTTGTGCAACCTCGACCAGGTTTAAAACCAGCCCGATTGTCATGCGTGAACCTATCAAATCCGGCAGATAGTCGAGGAAATAGTGTCAACGAGAAGATCGGAGATAATGTTGGTTAAACTATTTCCTCTGTGAACGGTCTGTCGCTTTTCTTGTGCATCGGTAAGATGACCGACTCGTAGTCAGTTGAAACCTGTTCTCTCTCTCCAGAGAGTTTCGTCAGCTCGGGGATCAAGACTGAATCTCAATCGTTCAAAGCCTATGAGCATAGGCCATCCGGGTCGGAGGCCTTCTACCTTCTTAGATAACTTATCACTTTTGATGAATGAGTTTTTTGTTTTCTACAATAAGAAACATCTGAGCTGTGGTGAAATGCGTGGGGAATTACATCGTTCTTAATCGCAGTTTGGCGTTCATTATTTAACTAACGATTTGCATTACGTTTAAACTGGAATATTTTAGGGGAACCGTTTCTCCTTAGACCTCCTTGATCGGGGCTATTAATTGCTATAAATTTTGTTTTACATCTGAAATTTTCACAAATTCTCTCTTATCCACTTGAATATGTTCTTTCTTTGCATCACTTTTATTCGCTATTGCTTTTAAACCATTCCGTCCCACTGATACCCCCCCTCCCCGTTCTACTTGAACCGGTTGTATACGTGAAAACCACTCGTCCCTTTAGCCTTGCAGTGATATCCAATCCAATTCAACCCACCCCTCTATGATCGTACCGAGTGTATATCTTCACCAACCACAAGGTCTAAATAAAAGTTATTGTACTCGCCCACACCTTTTGGTGGTAGGCAGCTCCGCTGCTGTCCGACTAAATGTCACGCCTTATCTAGAAGAGCCTTGTGTGTTTCGTCACCCATGTTCCCGGGCTCGGGGTTTTCGTGACTGAACTCCAGGTCCCCTTGACTATGGGCTTTCCCCCGTCTATTGTTCATCACACAGACGTTTGTAAAAAAGTTGAACTCTTAGCAGTTGTCAGTCCACTCTTCGTTGTGAAATACCTTACTAATCTTTCATTACTGACTCGTTAACTTATTCATGAATTATTTTCATCAGTGTTTTCCTATCTTTATCACTGCTTCTATACGAACACTATACGATTTAATGATTTTTGACCCCTCGGGAATGAATTCAATGGTCTACGAATGTGTTCTTGCACTGAAAATTTTATCCATTTGGACAAATAAATCCAGATGTTTAATTGATTCTCTTGACTAAAAATGACCATCCTTCTTCGGATGCGACGGAATTCGGATTAATCCTGTTCTTCGTACAAAAGGAAAATAGGTGAAGTTGAATGCAGAACGGAATGTTCCGTAAAAATTCCACGAACCCTCAGCAAAGAACCATCTTCAGATAAAAATTATTGAACTAGCAGTGTGAGCTGTCTTATCACGATCGGAGTTCAACGTGAATTGTGTGTGGCCTCGTGTAATTTTGAGCCGAAAATGGATTTGATGTAATCGGAAGTGAGTGACTCAGAATGGTGAGGACCGAAAAGAAGTTAAAATAAGCACAAAATGATCAACAAACGCTAAATTTGTACGAATCGCAGTGGAAGTGAATGGAATTCCGAATCGGTCAACAGCACTGTTTTACACGCTAAGACCTCTTCTGATGTGGTTACGGAGAATTGATGTGTCGGGCCTTTATGTAATTCTCTACTCCAAGTCTCGGGGGTTAGGTTGCCGGTTTCCATCACTGAGCAGCAGGTTTTCGTGATTATGGGATCCACCCGGTCTGCTGTTCACCACACAAGTGTGTGTGTAATGAAAAAAGGAAGATTGGGTCAAAGTTGTAAAATTGCATCACGCGATTCACGCTTATTCTTCAAAGTCGTCTACCTGTCCCCAAACAACTATCATCTTTCGGTATGTTTATACCACTGTTCCAATATTTTACCCTCAAAAGGAATCAAAACGTCTTGAATGGAATACAGTTGCCGGTGCTAATATTCTCATCGGTACCCCAGGTCGATTTGCCCAACATATGACAGAAAATGCCCTCATGGATATGTCTAATTTACGAATATTGATCCTGGACGAGGCTGATCGGTTATTAGATGCCACTTTCCGTGGAGACATGGATTCCATTATGACGAACCTCCCCCCTGAACGACAGACATTACTATTTTCTGCCACACAAAACAAGTAAGTGCTGATTATCTATCCGACGTGATGTTATTCTCCTGCTCCACTTCTTATCACGTTTAGTCTGACATGGCGGTTTTCCGTTACATATCGCGATCGATAGGTTTTGAAGTCAGTCGTACCGAGTCTCAGTAGTGTGGGTGTCCCATTGTGCCGGGCGATAGCAAAGCAATTTATGAACTGTGGTTCCTTCTTCTGTTTACTATTGGTAATCACAACTAAATGGTTCGTTGCGATTTTAGGTCACCATATTCCTTAACCGGATAGATTTGTGTTTCCTCTGGTTTAAGTGCGACTGTCGAGGAGAGTCGACCGAAGTGATGATTGTTTTCCGTTGCGTTTCTCTCCTAAGTCCTTTAAGCTACTGATGGCGGCGCTTTTGATTATTCTGCTTGTGAAGCAGCTCTCTTGTTCGCACAACTCATTGTCGGACCTTGCTTGTCCGTGTTCTCCACCGTAGGCAGCGATGTTCGAACGCCGACGATATATTTCTACTCTATTACTTCCCCAGTTTGATTGAGGTTGGAGTGAAGATGTGGTCGATACAACCTCGACCAGGTCTAAAACCAGCCTCATTCTCACATGCACACCGTTCACACGCGGCGGACAATCGACAGAGTATTATCTCAGCAGGAAGTTTAGAGGCAGTGTTGATTAAACTAATTCCTCTGTGGTTTTCGCTCGAGAATCTGTCACCTGTCCTGTAAATCAGTATGATGACCGATTCACACCATTCCGTTGGAACCTGTTCCCTCCACCCAGGAGCTTCATCAACTTCAAGACTAACGGTGAAACTCTATCCTTAAAAATCGATGAAGACAACCCATCTGAGCCGAAGGCATCAAATTTAATCAAATGAAAGTATTGCCCAGTCGATGTGGATGCTGACTGGTCAGATTTCGATAGGGGACAATTAAACTGAACGTCGAAATGTTCAGCCCATCGATCAAGACAACGTTGCTGATAACGAATCGGTATTCCTTCAAATTCCTTAATTGCTTCACGCCTATTTTCCTGGGGTTCTTATTCACAATTAGACGGAAAAGATTNCTACTTATGCCAATAACTGCAGCTTTCTCTATCTATCTACATTTTCCTACCCACCACTTCTTGCTGTCATTCCTCAGACTGTTGATGAGCTGGCGTTTAATGGATTTGCGCGCCGTGTTATATGTGGTATCAGGAGAAAGGGTTCTACGGGCGTCCATCAGGACAACCGAGGTCAAAGAGATCCGTCGTTTTAAGCTTGCACCAGAATCCGCTGTTTGTATAGTTTCTTTGATTTGCTTCTAGTGTTCATTGAGTCATTCGGCTGAGTGTTCGACTGATAGGCCATTGGAGAGCACCGCTTCGAGGGATACTTTGCAACCTTCGCGGGTATCTCTTGTCGGTGCCTTTATTACGGTTGTTGTTAAGGCGTAAGGAGAATCTGGCTCGTAGTAGAGCACGGTCCATGTCCACAGGTGTTGACCAATGCGAGCCGCAGTCTTCGGCTCCGGGCTGGAGGAAACCACAGAGGTCAACAGATGACGTGGAGGCAGGCCACGAAGAAATACAGTTATTCGGTAGAGTAGGTATCTTGCCTTCCATGTTTCCGTCCCAAAGACTGCAACGGGTTGGTTGGAGACAGTGAAAAGTATGGTGGTAGTGACGGTTTTGTTGTCCTTTCTTATCAGACCAGAACGCTTGAAAAGGTATTTATCAGTTAGTTTATGTTGACCGTGGAGGCTTCTTTTTCATTTCTATTTTCTTTTTATTGAATACGTAATGGTAC